TTTATAATAGTTAAAAATTTCATTCATGAGTCAACAAATTGTAATCGTATGTCTTTTATAATTTTACTAAAATCTTATTTTTAGGCTAACACCGGCTTATATAATTGTGATAATAATATTAAACCTAACTTTCTCTTATTATAACACGATGTCTATATTTTCTACATATGAACTGCCACACAAAGTTTGTCACAAATTCTGGTAGTCGAATATCCTATACATAATTAAATAATCTTTTTTCGGCTCTGTAGTTTCTAACCTAATAAATATATATTCGGTCATAGGAGCCGTTCGCTAGGTGTTGTGCGGAAATTATACGTGTATATATATCCATATATACGTGTTCACATGTAAATTTTACACGTGAAATTCAATTTGAAATAACAATTCTAAAATTCATATTGGATGCTATACTTGCATCTCTTATATGAAAAATCCCAAATACCCCCCTAAATCCTATACATAAATAACTACAACGATATGAATACAATGGTATGGAAACCGCATGGAAACGCATGTAACTCTCTGTATATTAGCTATATTTGATATTTGATGCTTTTGTTGGAAGTTGTATTAACATTCAAAGATATTTCTCGAGTTTGAACCGCGTTAGTGTCAGTTTTATACCGACGTTTCGTGATCATTTCAGCTTACTTTATCAAGGTTCCAAGAGCAGCCTGATACATCTTTGAATAGCTAATTATTTATTAATTAATATTGCACAATCGGAAATCAATATTTCTTTATGTAGATTTTGTTACAGTGTATGACTTGGAGCTGGTATCTGGCGAGTGATATGCAATTCTACATAATTGGCGTAGCTTTATTGATTTTGTCGACCGTGTAAGTTGATGATTACCTATTAATTCAAAATTATTGCGCAGTTATCCTCATTTTATGTACATTCAAATAACTATAAAATGATGATTANTTATTGATTCAAAATTATTATAGAATTATCTTTATTTCATATAAGTATATTTGAATAAATATAAAAGTTATAAATTTCAGATATATGTATTGGACTATTATTATACTGGGTGCACTTTTAATTGGATCAATCTTACTTTCCGGTTACATTCCATATATTTATGACTATATTCCAACGTAAGTAACAACATTAAATATATATTATTGGATGTGAC